TCCCGTAATAATTGTTTTCAATAGTCCGACCAACAGGAAACAAGAAATGGCTTTAACTCACAATGTATGGGCATTTGTGTTTGGAATCATGGGTACGTAGCATTCAAATAAAGAGCCATCAAATATATACTAGCAAACTCTATTTAACACTTTGAATGATGTTCTTCGACTTATACCACAATAGGTGATTTTGTTTAGACGCTCCAAAAAATCATAATTTTTTACGTTGCACGTTGCAGGTAACATCATATCATTCGTCGTGTTTTTGGCCCCGGTGTAAGCACCAATGAACCCTTACAAATGCTTTTACTTGGATTCGTTTCATTCAAATTAATCAAATGTTCTTTTTTATTCATTTTTAATTAGGCCAACCTTTGTAAGGATATGCAAGAAGAAATCGACAGAAGGTTTTCAGTCTCTTCCCTATGTTTCAGCGCTCTTTAGCGCGATGCTATGGATTTACTACGCTATGCAAAAGGATGGCTCAGGCTTCCTTCTCATTACCATAAACGCTGTTGGGTGTTTCATCGAAACCATCTACATCGTCCTCTTCGTAACCTATGCTAACAAGAAAACTAGAGTATGTTGAAATACTTTTCTCTATACCTACATGTATTATTATTTTTCTTCACGTTGATCATAACACATGCACACATACAAATGATTTTGTATCCGGTTAGTAATAGCTAGATGGCTGAAACGATGTTGCAGATGTCCACTTTGAAGGTTCTTGGCCTCTTGAATTTTTTGGGTTTTGCCGCCATTGTTCTTGTCTGCGAGCTCTTGACAAAAGGATCGACACGTGAGAAAGTTCTTGGAGGGATTTGCGTTGGATTTTCTGTCAGTGTTTTCGCAGCTCCTTTAAGTATCATGGTACGTATTAATATATATATATTTTTTTGAAAACGACACGTATTAATATTTTTTCAAGGATATATCCTGTGTAGCTTTATTTTTTTTCTTGATAAAATATTTTCCTGTATAGCTTGATGCATGCATATATAAAATATATATGGTAAGATTTATATATGCAACGATCCATGTTTTACGTATATTATCTCGGAAGAACAGTCATGTTAATAGATAGTATGTTTGTCTTTCCTTTCTTGGTTATTGGAATTTCTATAGTTTCACTTTAAGAATATTAAAATAACTTATACAGCAAATAATTATTTGGTGCAGAGAGTGGTAGTACGAACAAGAAGTGTGGAGTTTATGCCATTCTCTTTATCGTTGTTTCTTACACTCAGCGCCGTCACGTGGCTCTTCTACGGTCTCTCTATTAAAGACTTCTACGTTGCGGTGAGTTTATTTATATAATACTCAATTATTTATTCGTTTTCGATTATTTCTAAGCATATGATAAAGGACAGCACAACATTATATGATTTGGTTATAATGGGTGGTTCTTCAATAAAGTAAAACGAGTTACTTAACTTTGTCTCTTTTCCTCAATTCCAACATAAATATGAAAAGGCTAACATAAATGTCGTGGCGACGAATAATGGTTTTAAACCGTACGCATAGTTCGCTTTATGATTAGCAATTATATAACTAATTGGACCCACTAATTATATAAAACAAAATCTAATTTGTTCTGTTGCGATGTCGGTAATTTTCTTTTTTGCCAACTTATTGTGTCGGCAATAAATGGAATATTAATGTCCTTTATTTCTAATTTTGAAACTATTGAAGCTTCCAAATGTATTGGGCGCGTTCTTAGGAGCTGTTCAAATGATTCTCTACGTAATATTCAAATACTACAAAACTCCGGTGGAGCAGAAGACAGAGAAGTCCAAAACGGTGTCGGATCATTCCATCGACATAGCGAAGCTAACCACCGTTTTACCTGGTCCAGTTTTGGATTCAGCGGGTCATCCACCGTCTGCTATCCATAGTGTTCCCGAGACTCAGATGAGCCAGAACATGACCGGTCCGAAAGACCAGAATAACAAGGATGTCCAGAACCAAAACCAAGTTTGAGTAGTGAATCCAATTTAGAGACTCATTAATAATGCATTGTTTGAGTTGTGCACTCTAGCTAAC